ATGTTTTTTTAAATATTTTTTCCAAACAAGTCTTTTTATTTCTATGTGTTGCATGCTTGTGCTGCCTCAGTTTAGCTAAAAGTTTAAAGTTTAGTTTAAAACAAAGGCAAGGAGGAAAGCATTACCTGTGCATTTATTTGAACACATAATTTAAATTTTATTGTTTTTTTAAAATACATATTGTTTTTCCTTTTATTTGTACATGCATTTGAGTGTCTTAAATGTTTATACTTAATTGTTTTTTTAATATTTTTTCTTAACAAGTCTTTTTATGTGTTGCATGCTTGTGCTGCCTCAGTTTAGCTAAAAGTTTAAAGTTTAGTTTAAAACAAAGGCAAGGAGGAAAGCATTACCTGTGCATTTATTTTAACTAAACTTTATAAATATGAAGGTCAATTAAATTATAAAACATGGAGGTAAAGTTCTCTTTTTTTAATCTATTTTGTGCATTTTAATGTATTTATTTATTTAAAGGTTCATTTATCTATTTCAGCTTTTATTCCTAATTATGTCAGTTTGGGTCCTCCGTACTGCAGAACTTGGAAGAGGTAGTTCAGTGACTGAATCAGGTGTGTTGGAGCAGGGAAAAATGTAAAGCGTAGGGCTGCGGCCCTCCAGGACCATGATTGCCCACCCCTGATTTAGAACTTTCCAGCATGTTTTTGCCTAGATCCATAGTTCAAAATACTGTCTATAAATAAATATTAAGTTTAACCAAAGGCTACAGTGGAGTAAGTCACCACAGTTAACGGAATTTCCCAACAAAACAGAAGTGGCTCACTGACCCAACTGGAGTCTTTCATATGAGCTTTTAAAATGACTCCAATAATCACCTCATGTGCTAYAGAGTTCAGGAAACCTGACCAAAACTGAAATGATTTGTTTTGTTTCTTCCAGAATGTTAAACAAGTTCATTTTTGTTTTGGTTCCAGGTAAGCGACTGGTGGGAGGAGTACATCTACCTGAGGAGCAGAGGTCCCATCATGGTAAACAGTAATTACTATGGCATGGTAAGAAGCTGCTTTTCAATCCTGTCCAGACAAAATGTGTTATGTAGAAATATTTAGTCTGCTTTTATTCACCTCCTGGTTTCATGTTCCTTATAGGACTTCCTGTACATAACCCCAACCACAGTTCAGGCTGCAAGGGCAGGAAATATAATCACTGCCTTGCTGCTCTACCGACGCAAAGTCAGTAGAGAGGAGCTGACGCCGGTGAGAGGTTGTTCATTTCTGCAGAGTAGTGTTGTGTGGGATAAAAACTTAAGGACTTTTGAATACTTTCAAAAATCATATTGTCCTTGAGGGTATAAAGTTCAACTAGACTTCCTTCAAATGGTGCTTTTTTTTAGCGCGACCCCTGCTGGTTGCTGTGTGACCTGTTCACCTGTTCTCCCATGTTTTGTCATGTGTGTCTTTTTGAATTGTTGTTCTTAAATGTAATTTCATTGTGCTCTGTACGATGACAAAGGCATCATCAATCAATCAATTCATCAAAAGCCAACAAAAGCAGATTTCTTTGAATAATATCAGATATTTGTGTCTGTTTGTATTAGAGTCGTGTTCCAGGTACCTTCATCCCCCTGTGTGCAGCTCAGTGTGAGAGGATGTTCAATACGACACGCACACCAGGAGCAGAGACTGGTAACACAAATACTAAAGACACACACTCTATTATTGCTACTGTACACTAGAAATATAGAGTACATTGAACTCTGCTCTTTGAGTTTGTCCTTCTAGTCAACAGAAATCCTGAATATAATACTAAAATATTATATATTATAATGCTCATAAAAAGCAGATTTAAGTCAGAACTGTATAAAAAACACAAAGTGAAGCACATTTGGAGAAAATATTACTTGTACTTAAGATAAACTTAAGCAAAATGCAGAAAACAAAGTCCGTCTTTACTACTTTTAAAGAAGTTAAAATGAGAAAATCCTTTCCTGAGAATCCACATCCAGTTATTCATTCTTGATGAGATTATTTACGAGTGGAGAAATATTCAAAACATCTGGCAATCATTGATGGAGCAGATGTCAGCAAGTTTATTCCAAGGTCAGACTCTTAATTCACTGCAATCATAGTTGAAAGGTTTGACAGTGACACAAATACTATTTAGCAATTTTAGTATTATTATTTTTTGTTCAGCTTTGTTTCACGTTATATATTGGAAGGAAAAAAGATTATTACTGTTTTTCATTTTCACAACATTTTCACTGTGAATAAAGTGTTTCATTTCTGAAGGAATGATTCTGGGGAAGAAAAAGTTAGACTAGAAGACCCCAACTTATTTTTTTTTTTTCAGGTTTGTGAATATGATTAAACTTTATGGAAAACTGCATTTAATACAACAAAAGTACAGTAATGTTAATAAAACAATAAAAAAAATACAGACAAATGTACAGTAAAGTTTAAGCTAAATAAGTAAAACAAGCAGTCAGGAAAAGAGTGAGGGGCGAATCAGTAGATTTTAAAATACCCACTCTCTCACAAGTTATTATCACATCACTTTAACAATATAATTTATATTAAACAAAACTCACTGAATTAAAAAAGACAAACAAAAAATCTAGCAGCAAACAAAACAATCATACATCAAATGGAAGCCCATTTTTTTAMAGAAAGACTTACACAGTAATTCGATCTTAAATACAGAACAAATGTCACAAAACATCACTTAACAATATAATCTATAATTAATAATAAAAAAGTAAAGCATTCTTAAATCCAAAAACTGACATTTTAGCTCTGAGGCTCTCAAGCTGTAACTTTGTACTAAAGCTCTATATTTCGTAGTAGTTCTGAATAAACAACTTTCAAATCTAAATTTTTCTCACAAAGCCTGCAGCACTCATTTACATTCATCTCGTTCAGCTCCGTATTTCTCTCTTCCCAGTAGAGGATGGTTGTTTTACAGYGCAATTTCCACTTAGCCCCTTAGCTTCTTTCATGGTCGATCTTGTGCACTACATGTGCCACAGCCAMATGTTAGTGATTGGGTAAAATCAGATCCAATCGTTTTAAACTTAAACAGAGTTCACGCATCCAGCAAGYAATCGTTTCTCAATAGCTGATAGTCCAGACCCTCTGTACGAAGCAAAACAAAGAACCAGGGGCTGGATTTTACCAGGCTAGAATAAATGCAATTATCAGCCTTATTTATGTTTTAATTTATTTAAGGGTGTACACAGAATATATTAAACCTTTTTTTGTTTGAAAACTTGAGTGGCATGAAAAAAATTGTATGTAATGTATGGCGTTGCCAGTGGTTACTAAATATTTTCAGCCTTTTTTGACAATATGACAATTTTTGGTGATTTTTTTTTCTTTTTTATATAAGGTCATTCAGGCTTTCCATTTCTAATGATTGGTATAAACACACACACACACACACACACACACACACACACACACACACACACACACACACA